TATTCCCTTAACCAGTTCAGGCCACATTCTAATTGACATTGGGGCATCTGATTTCCATTTCAACATAATACATTTTTTGCTGTAGTCAACAGTATTTTTGTTGTAAGGTTTGAGTTTGTTACCCAAGAAACAAATATCTGGGTCCATTAAAATGATCTCCATCCCAAATGGTGAGATGAACGGGTTGTTTGTGCTCTGTTGGTCAAGAGCATCATTATAAGGAGCCTGAGCTCAAGCTAATCTCGCCAGTGTGCAGCCGAGTATGGATTTCACATCAAAAGAAGAATATAAAGAGAGATCAGGTTGTCAGCTTGTCTTTGTACTTCATCGTCCTTAAGGTTAAACACTGTTAAAGTAATAGCTGCTGCATAAAATAAAACCCCAACATTACCCTGGTGTTCTGAGATGTAAGCTATTGACCATACATATATTTCTCCCTGGAGGTGTGTGCAAATCAATAAGCGGGTGAGCTTGGATTGATTTGTTGGTCGATATGCTTAGGCTACTGGGCGGTAGGTTAGTCCAGGGACTACTTGGGTGAACTGCTAGCCAGTGATCTAATGGCTTTGGGGATTCACTTGTGCTTTTTTGTCTCTGAAGACGCTAAAAGCTATTGTTTCACTGAACGTTAGTTTTTATGGTTTCCTCTTCTTATCTACAATCTTTTGTTTCTTCAACCTCAAAACACCTGTGTTTTTGATTCTGATGTCTTTTGCCATTTTGACTCACATATTAAAGCTTCTTGTCATCAATGGTAATCCTTATTGATCTCTAGTTATCATTTATATTTTGACCTGATTATTTCATATATTGACACCCTATGTACTGGAAAACAGAGCCTTCTAGCGCTGCTGAAAATTTACAAGAACATGTATTAATTCACTCCGACACACTTAGATTAGATTAAAAAATAATGTGGTATTACTGCTTTACACGAGGAGCACTCGGCTTTTAATCTCCTGATGTTGTCAATATGCTTCAGTGCTAAGTGCACTCTCTGTGTCTTTCCGTGTGGTGCTAGTTGAGGTATGTGCACACTTAATACAAAAAGGATTGTCGGAGGCTGTGAGAACATTTGCAGCTAAGGTGTGAAGATTTGTTGTTTTTTTCACCACTAAATGATTTTTCTTACATCTTCCTGAGTGAACACATTTCTGAATGAGACTACAGGAAGACTGCACAGTGTGAGAGAATGGCTCTTTGAAAAAGTGTAGGGAAGGAATGACAAAGATCAAGGGCCATTTTAAGATGACAAAAAAAATTCTGATGCAGTATATTTAATCATGACCTGGAACATAGAGACATTCATATCCTGACAATGTTTTTCAGTAAAGGTGGTCGTATTCATTATTCCCATGGCTGTCATCGTCTATTATTTTTTTCGTTTTGTATTTTGCTGTGACAACATACTTTGGCTGATCTGCCAATTTTAGGGTCAAGGAAATAAAACAGTGTTACCTTGGTGCAGGAACAAGTTATTTTCAACAGTTTGAATTATAAGAAAGAGCGACCAGTGTTTGCTTTTGCTGCGTTTCGGTCTGTAATAAATTGTTTAACCATTTAAATTCACTAGATCCAGATTTTTTTCATTGGATCTGCACCAGATTGCACACTTTCTCAGTCCCCTAAATATCAGTCTCCTAAATATGGTAGATTTGTATCTACCCCCTGATCCAGATCCACACTGAAATTGAATGGGTTCTTCTTTTGGTCATGCCCCTTCGACAAAGTTTTGTAGAAATCCGTTCATTTGTTTTTGTGTAATCTTGGTTACCAAAAAACAAACACATAACCTCCTCTTTTAGCAGTAGATGTGGTTTTATTTTCTCTCAGTTATCCACTACCAGGCAAATTCACTCCACTATACTGCAAAACATCATTTCAGTCCACTGCCACACTACATATCAAAAGGGGTAATTATAAGGCATATTTGTATACACAGAGTTAAAGCCTCTCTCTGTGTGCCCCCTCTGTGGTTCCTTCACATCTCATCAGTATTTCCTCTTCTGTGCTTGTTAATTTGTCAAAATGTTGACACATTGATGAATACATTCCCTCTCTCTCCGTCTCTGCAGCTGAGATAGGGGACTACAGCGAAGTGGAGCATAGTTCTGGCTATCTGTCTGAATACTGCTTCATCCCCAACCCCCCACAAGACTTCCACAAAGAGGTCGCCAAACATCACCAGCAGCACAGGTATGCTGACACACAACACACACACGAAAATACATCTGTGATATCTGAAATCTGACACATGCAACTGGACCTGGAAAGATTACTGTGCTGGACCTCCAGATGAACTAGTGTGTTTACCTTCAGTAGCAGCGGAGCCACTGTCATGTTTAATATGTTTTAATGATGCCATATGTTGCATTCAATTAATTCTGACACAAGTGTACATCATACTGAGAACTATCAAACTACTGTGATTATGGAGCAATGATACATTTTTTTCTTATAATTGATATGAAAGAAAAGCCACTACTGCATAGTTTATGTGAGTGCACCTACAGCTCTACACTTGCACAAACACAAAACGATCACATGCTGCAGTTAATCTGACCTTTTCTCTGCCATTAGTGCATTTTATTTCTGATTGTCATTTCTTTGTCTCTTCACCTCCCTCCATGTGTCTCTGTCTCTACCTACCTATATTATTATCCCCACTCTCTTTGCTCCCACCCACATCGTCCTATCCCCGTCTGTCTTTGTGCTCCCTCTCTCCTTCTCTCAGCGGTCTATCTCCTGCCCAGTCAGAGTTTAATTATCTGAACACAGCACGCTCGCTGGAGCTCTACGGGGTAGAGCTGCACTATGCAAGGGTAAGTCAGGTTTTATTTCATGTCTGCTGGTCTGCTCTGGTGTGTGTGTGTGTGTGTGTGT